ACCTTCCCAGCCCCTAGTCTTCCTTTTACTCAAGAGTCTGAAACCATCTTGTAAGGGTGAGAACATAGTTTGCATGTGTACATGTATGTAGCTTTCCTTCTATTCATACTCTGATGTCATCTTGCGTTTTGCTTGTCTGTTATGAAGGTACTTATTTCCTTACTTCCCCAACTGAAACATATCTTCTGGTTCTCCTACTTGAAAAATAGTACAAAACTTGCTTTCAGAATAGTACTGTGCTACTCAAAATGTGGTTCACAGGCTAGCTGCCAGTTTTTAACTGTTATTGATTCATGGGAGATAATCAATTACATAACTATGTCCACTTTTTATATTATCTGCTAATTTTTAGTAGCAAACTTCCTCAATAAAGAAAGCAAGACATTCATTAACATTTAGATACAAGTTTCCCATGTTACTAACCCGGTCCTTTTTATCACTGAACTAAATGACAAAAAAGTAACAAGTATAATGATACTATCAAGAGATAATCAATCTGCTACAGTATAATTATTAGTCTGTACATTTCAATTATTTAAACCTAATCCATGTAAAAAGAAGAAAACGTACATTAAGAAAGTATCTTCACACCCCAAACTCAGTCAACCAGACTGTCTATCTGTCTCCCCCCCTCTCTCTTAGTTTCTTGTCAGTAGTGAGATCTGAACTCTGGGCCGTGTGCTCTGCCTTGACTTTTTCTGCTCACGGTTGCCTACCATTTGAGTGGCTCCAGTCCCACCTTTTTGTTGGTTTAATAGAGGTAAAAGCTTTGTGGTTTTGTCTGCTTGTGTTGACTTCAAACCTCGAATCTTGGATCTCTGCACAGCTACTGTCATAGGCATGAGCCACCAGCTCCTGATCCCAGTTTCCATTAAACTGCTAAGACATCTTTTTACTGTCACTTGAACCTAACAGGAATGCCACTTATACAATTGATCACAACAATTCAACACACAAGAAATAAGATGCAGAATCTTAGCTCAAACAATATTCACTTGAGAAAAATGTCAAGCACATCGAATTACAATAAATGAGACTGAATAAAAATATACTGTTTCGTTCTTTTGAACCACTTTTCTAATCATTAACAGCACATGGATATAATATAGAAATGGGTTTCAAAGTCTGTAAGATACATCTCATCATGGTAAAAGATATCAATAATAAAGTACTAACGTTTTAGCCTATAAAATTTAATAAAATATTAAAGTTTTAGCTTATACTGACCTCATTCAGACATCGTTTCTTTGTGAATATATTTCTGATAAACGTTTCTTGAACTTCTTCCTGCTTCACCAAATACTGCCAAAGCCTTTTCACAGATAGTGCTAGATGATGTTTGGATCTACAGAGGGATAGTAAATTAAATGATGTGCTTTGAGATTTCTGACTTACCTGACAAGTCCTGGGTTCTATACCAATGTTTACTGCAATTAAGTATAACCACAGTCATCCAGTAGAACAGTTCACAAGCTTTTTCTTTAAAGGACCAGAGAGTAAGTAAATATTTAGGCTTTATAAACCATATGGTTTCCATCACAAACACACAGCTCTCAGGTGTATTGGGAAAAGCAGCCATACAGCCCTGATGCAAAATGCTCCAAAATATGAAACTTTTAAGTTGCTGACATAGTACTTGGAAACTTTCTTTCAGATTCTGGAGCACTCTGGATTTTTGATTAGGGATGGTTCACTAGTAAAGTCTACAGAAATGTCCCCAAATCCCAAGCATTTTGGATAAGGACATCCAATCTGTCACATGCAAATGACCAGAATGGATATGATAAAACAAACAAACAAAAAGCTTTATTTGCAAGAGCACGAGCAAAAGGGCTAGACGGGGCCTGAGTGGCCGGCCACTGTGTGATGACCCCTAAGATGGACATGGGCTGTTCTAGGCTTCCTACAAGTGGGTCAGAATCAGAGCTGCTCAAAAGTGCTTTTGGTAAACATACCTCCAGGTTGTCTAATATTTTATCATTATTATCTCAAAATATTTCATCTAGTTTTGAGGATATTTCAAGAAGTAGGGCCTCAAAATATGACTTTATAATAGCATTTTGTAGCAACACAAATGTAGGCATTCCATTCAGCATACATTATATTAAAATTGAACTGTGTAACTTAAGGATAGAAATGGAAAGGGGAATAATGGGAGAGAGTGATGGAAGGGGTGATGTTGATCAAGGTGCATTGTACACATAACTGACATGGAATTTTAACCTCTCTGAACAACTTCTAAATAATAAATTATTTTTTAATTAAAAAGTGTTTTCTGTAGACACGTAATAGTCCAGAGACTCCGCCACTAATCAGCAGTGAGTTGACTTGAGCAACAATGTTGACTATAACATTAAGCGACTAGACACTGCTTAGCTTTTGTAGCACAACTTCCTAGAGGAAGCGATTACTGCACTGATTTGACTTTTGCTTCAAACTTTCTCTTTTATGGACAGTAAAACAAAAATATCAATAAGCTGTGGCCCAAATGCCAAGTAGAATCTGCCTCATCATTTACAAAGAATAAAGTTTAATAGACTATAGCCAAGTTACCCTCTTTACATACTGTCTACGTTTGCCTTAATCCTACATTGGCAGAGTTAAACAGAAAGGAGAAAGATGACCCTCACAGCCTAGACTATTTACACTCCACCCTTGCCAGGACAGCTTGTACCACATTACACAAAGGCACAAATTTGGACCTACAATTGAAAATTAAGCCTGGTTCTTAAAAACATCTTTTCTCTCTTTTTTAGCAGTCGCCTGGTTTAGTAAAGTTTCTACTTAAGAACAGTATCTACAGGAAAACATACTTGAAAGGAGTATTTGTAGGTTCCAGTAAAGCTTTATGGCGGAGAATTGCAGGGCCTGCAGACAAACTCTCTTCAGACGTATGACTCGAGATATAGTTTTGAGGTGGTCCACCATGAATTTCAAGACGTCGGAGAAGAACCTGTTCCCAACACTGAAGAGTTTTCAGAACTGCGTGACAAAGAGGTGAACTGACTGGAAGCTCTGAAAAGGTAAAATATAAGTGAATCAGTTATTTTCTGCAGTAAAATGTTAATTCAATGGTTAGAACCTTGAGATAGGATACTAACACAATTTAGCGTGGAGAAGTGGACATAGACTCTTGTAGAGGGATAAAAAGATGTCATAAATCTGTATAAACATTTGAACACTACTGCCTCTCACTTTAGTTTCAGATAAAATGTACCTAAAGATTACAAAAATGTATGTGCAAGGAAAATTAATTACCTGAAACTGTTATATCAGTCCAAAGGCTAAGAGGGGGAAAATAAATTGCTTTCACTTTTGAATTAGTTATGCCATACAGATCTGATTATCTGTAACTTTAAAACTTGCTTAGAGGGGCTGAGAAGATGGCTCAGTGGTAGAGTGCTTGTCTTCCATGCATGAGGCCCTGGGTTCGATTCCTCAGTACCACATAATCAAAAAAAGCCAAAGTGGCGCTATAGCTGAAGTGGCAGAGCACTAGCCTTGAGCTGAAGAGCACAGGCCCAGAGTTAAAAACAAAAACAAAAACCAAACTTGCTTAGAAAATGAAAATAAACTTTTGTGAAAAGTTAAAATAAGGGTACATTGTCCAAAAGGAAATGCACTCTTTCCCTAACCTATGTATCCTCTGTGTACATCACCTTTATCCTTTATAATAACAAATAAAAGATTAAGAAAATAATTTTTAAGAAGTTAACAATATTTGCCATGAAACTCAGCACTTTTCATTTGTACCTTTTCATACTTCTGACTTCTGGTCCACTTTCAACGTTAATTTCTACCTCCTCATATCTAAATATGCTTATACTGTTAGCTCTTGTTTTTGTTTTTAGTTCTGAAAATGATCTGCTGATTCATTACAACAGAACAAGATTCTTTCCATCATTCCAACACAATCACAAAAAATTTCTGGTTGATGTGTTAGTGTTTAACTCATTACATGTTCATTATGCATATGAAAAAACAGTTCTCAGCTGAATCTCTAAAAAGGTAAAATGTAAGTGAGCCAGCTGTTTTCTTCAGTAAAATGCTGTCTTCTCCTATATACCCATTTCCTCCTTTGCAGTTAGTAACTACGTTCTAGGTCTGCTTAGTTTCTGTGTCCTCCATTATGAAATCTCCAAACACTGAAAGAGATGAGAAAATCCTGCTATCATTATCCACGTAAGATTAGTGTCTCTGATTTCAGACACTATCCTCTTCATGTATCTAATATTACAATGCACTAATTTAAAGGTAATTTCTTTAGTTAAAAGAAATATGTCTCTTACTATAGGACGTTTTTAAGCTTTTCCTTCAATATTTAACCCAAATCACTATCACATTATTCATATAAAGACATTTATTACCTGCAAGATCATGACCTGCAGAGGGATAGAAAGTCTTCAAATTGTTGAGCACCAATTGTACCATAGCCAACCGCATCAAAGACCAACTACAAATAAAAAAAAGGTAGCTCGATTGAAGATTTACCTAGGGATTTATAAGAAGATGCCACCCTTTCAAGTAACAATTTCACTTCTAGAATGTACTCTAAAGAGGAAACATACATACACAAAAAGAAAATAATATATACATACAGTTATTCATGCCAGCATTACCTAAAATAGCACAGCAATAAAAAATATAGGTCAAACTGTCCATCTACCAGTAGAGTACTGGCTAAATGTAATTTTAAAGTATGGAATTTTAAGGTAATCATAACTAAGAAAGCTCTAAGTGTTAATATGGAAAAATGATGAATTAAATAATTTTTATTAACTATAACAGGTTTCAGAAATTATGTATGGTGTGACATTTTCTATGCAAGAAAACAGGAGAAAGCTAACACTGGCAGCTCCTGCCTATTCTCCCAGCTACTCAGAAGGCTGAGACCAGGCAGAAAAGTCCATGAGACTCCATCTTCAATTCACTAGAAAAAAAAGCCTGACTGGAGGCAAGGCTCAAATGATAGAGTATTGGCCTTAAAGAAGAAAGCTAAGCAAGATCATGAGGCTTTGAATTCAAGAACAGAACTGGCACAAAGGAAGAAAAGAATGAGAGAGAGGGAGGGGAAACAAAATCACATAGACACATATATTTATTTTTGCAACCAGAAAGACAGCCAGGAAATAATTATCTGTAGATTCTGTAGAAGCTATAGAGAAAAAAACCTGAGTGGAGGATACAAAAACATAGCACTTTTTTTTTTTTTTTTGGTTGGTCATGGGGCTTGAACTCTGGGCCTGGACGCTGTCCCTCAGCTCTTCAGCTCAAGGCAAGTGCTCTACCGCTTGAGCCACAGCGCGACTTCCAGTTTTCTAGTGGTTTATTGGAGATAAGAGTCTCACAGGCTTTCATGCCTGGGCTGGCTTTGAACCGCAGTCCTCAGATCTCAGCCTCCTAAGTAGCTAGGTTTACAGGCATGAGCCACTGGCACCCGGCAAAAATATAAGATTTTTTATTTCATATTTCTACACACTGATGTGTTTTAGGAAGCAGGCAACGAGGGAGATTGACTGAGTGGGTGAGCTTGATAGGTTGGTTACATTGTACGCACGTAGGGAAAAATGTCATAATAAAATTCCCCTTGTACAACTAATATATGCTAATAACAATCTAAGTAAGTTAAAAAGTTTTTATTTCCATTTCTCTTTAATTTCGAGTGGAACACACTGCTTAAGGTATGGGCTTTTGTTTCTTAATTGTGTTTAAATTTACCATTTATTTCCCATCTTATTTGCAACATCTTCAACATCTAACTTCTTTCATCTTGCAAAACTAAAATCTACATTAACTCAATAATAACCACCCTCTTCCCTCTAGTCCTGCTCTTGGCAACTGCCATTTCACTTTTATTCTCCATGCATCAAGAACCATATGAAACTTTTTAGGACTGGCTTTCTTCACTTAGCACAATGTCTTTCAGACTCATCCTTGTTGGACCATGTTTTTAAATTTTTTTCTTTTTTTTTTTTGTGTGTCAGTACTAGGGCTTAAACTAAGAACATTAGCTTTTTCTATCAGGGCTGATATGCTACCATTTAAACCTCAGGAAATAAAAGTCTCAGACTTTCCTGCCTGGGCTGGCTTCAAACCACAATTCTCCAACCTCACATACCTGAGTAGGTAGGATTACAGGTGTGAGCCACTGGCATCTGGTACTTACTAATATCTTACTGTACTATTGTTCTATTAAAGACATTAGATTTTGTAGGCTGAAATCATTTATCTTAGGCCCAAATGGCAAAGCACAATCCAAGAGCAAGATTTGTGGGAATTGATACAAATGAAAACAATCTATTTATCAATAATCAAAACTTGAGAAATTACTAAGGAATTTACAATTTCAACTATATAAATGTTGAGTTATATTATAATTCACCAATAATTAATTTTACATACAAACATTATATAGGTCATAAAGATGTTTAAAAAGTTATGAAATATTCCATACCTATATGAATTTGAGTTAGAATGCTCTTGAAGGTGAAAATCTGATGCTAACACATCCTCTTCGTTATCATCATCATCACTTTCCAGACTCTCCTCGGAGTCATATTCTGGTCTACTTTGGGAAGGGGGTAGAAAAGGCTGAAACAGAAAAAGTTAAGCAATTTATCTAAACACCTGATTTAATACATTGAAACACCTAGCGTGACAGTAGCAGCTCACTCCATCTACAGATATTTCAATATAGGGAAGCTGCCTTTAATGTAACTTAGTTCTACTTCTTTATTCACCCTGAAATTCAGCAAAAACTTTAACTATCCATTATGCACCACAAAGTGTACTTGATATGAAGAATTTTTGTTTTTTTATTTCAGACAGGGTCTCTCTATGTAACCCAGCTTGGTGTTTTACCCTGTGATTTTCTTCCCTCAACCTTCTAGTTTTATGATTACAAACCTCTGAGATGTAAGAATATTTTAGATGGATACAGCCACTGCCCTAGGAGAGTTTTTACTGAAGTGGTAAACAGAAACAAATAACAAAAAAAACTAAATAAAAATTACATTAAATACTGTGAAGAAAATAAAAGAAGAGATAAAGAAGAACAAGAACTAAAATATGCTCATCATAGAAACCTTTTTGAAAAGTGGCACTTAGTGGGACCTAAAGGAGCGAACAAGCCATATAACAAGTAGGAAAAAAATCATTTTAGGCAATGGAAATAGTACACAGAAGCAGTTTGGCAGAAGAGGACAAATGTTAAGGCTAATAGTAGATGAACACACCAGCAGTGTCACGCAGGCCATGGTACAGAAGTGTAATGTGTTGCCAATACTGAATTTTAGAGAAAGGGTATTGAGACATCATTCAGATATACTAAAACCACTTTTTTATGAGAAAAAAAGTCATATATCAAGAGTAGAAATAAATAGCAACTGATTCAAGATCTAGAAAGCAAGAAAATGTAAGGAAAAATCCCAGCACTCCAGAGACTGGGGTAGGAGGATTTCTGAGTTGAAAGCCAGTTTGGACTACATAGTGTGACTCTGATAAAAAAAAAAAAAAAAAGAACAAACAGTGATAGAGGCAATTAGGCAAAGGAAGGGAGAAAGAAAGGGAAGAAAAAGAGAAAAAGCAAATGACTCCTGAGCTTCTAGCTTAAGCCAGCTATAAAGATGAGGCTACCATTACTAAAATGAGAAGATTTTGGACATGAAAAGGGAGATTTTGCTGGAGGCATGGTTCAAGTGGTAGAGTGCCAGCCAAATGAACAAACAAGCTACACAGCATAAGACCCTGAGTTCAAACCCCAGTTCCACAAAAAAAAAAAAAAGAAAGAAAGAAAAGGGGGTGTTAGGGAAAATGAGTATCAATAGCCTGCATCTGAGACCAATATTCTTGAGTCAAGTAGAAGAGGAAAGATAAAGAGAAAATGGAAAATTAAAAAGGAATAAACAGCATGGCGCTAGTGGCTCACGCCTGTAATCCTAACTATTCAGGAGGCTGAGATCTGAGGATTGTAGTTCAAAGCCAGCCCAAGCAGGAAAGTTCCTGAGACTTTTATCTCCAATAAACCATTCAGAAAACTGGAAGTGGCTCAAGTGGTAGAGTACTCACCT